CTAACAAGCTCAAAAGTTACGGACAATATGTCCTGAACTTAGACTAACAAGCTCAAAAGTTAACGACACTTGGTCCTAAACTTACAGTTACAAGTTTAAAAGTTAAGGACACTTGGTCCTGAACTTAGACTAACAAGCTCAAAAGTTAACGACACTTGGTCCTAAACTTACAGTTACAAGTTTAAAAGTTAAGGACACTTGGTCCTGAACTTAGACTAACAAGCTCAAAAGTTAAGGACAGACTTACAAGTTCAAAAGTTAAAGACAAGTAGTCATTAACTTAGAGTTACTAGCACAGAAATTAAGGACAGGTGGTCCTGAACTTCGAGTTCTAAGTTCAAAAGTTAAGGACATGTAGTCCTGAACTTCGAGTTCCAAGTTCAAAAGTTAAGGACATATAGCCGTGAACTTAGAGTTGCAAGTTCAAAAGTCCATGTAGTCCTGAACTTAGAGTTGCAAGTTCAAAAGTTAAGGACATTTGGTCCTAAACTTTATGATCAGAAGAGTGTTTTCGTCCGGATAGGTAAAATTTATTAAAGTAGTGGCTAAAGACTAAAGATATTTTAAACAGTGGCTTAAAAGTAAATACATGTGTTATTAGTGGCTAACTGTGCACTTCCCCCGTTGAAAACTCCTCTAAGCTTTAGTGCCAATTCCACTGTATATTGTTTAATGTGTTAGGAACACAACCTTCCTTTCTTCCTCTAGCCAACCAAAAGTGCTTATACTTCAAAAAAACACAAGTTGAGAGTGATCGAACTATAACTTGTTGCTGATTTTGTCTTACAAGCATTTTTGGAGTTTATAGATAAGCCGCAAAGTGTTTTAACCAGCACATAAGCTTAACCATAGCATCTTTTGTTGTGTGTGAATAAAGAATTTTTTTTTAAAGAAACAAATCTGAAGACATAACATAGGATACTAATAACTTGTTTGGCAAAACTTTAAAATCAGTTTATTTTGAGAAGTATTTTTGGTGAGAAGCATTTGTATTTGGCTAATTAATTCAAAAATTACTTCTAAGCAAGAAAGGTGGGGCTGGGGTGGGGTCCAGGGGTGGGAAGGANGCTATGGTACGAGATGTAGATGAGTTTAAACTATGATACTCAGGGAGCGATAAGGGTAAGAATGTGGTAGGTATTTTAGTTGACAGGGACCTCAGGGAGCTCGTTGTTGAGGTTAGGAATGATAGGTTGATGAGTATTAAGCTGGTAGTTGGTGGATTTACTATAAACGTGATTAGTGCATACGCTCCTCAGATAGGTTTGGACCAGGAGGTCAAGGAGCAACTCTGGGAGGATTTGGACGAGATGGTGCGTAGTATCCCGCACATAAAGAAGTTGTTCATTGGTAGAGATTTCAATGCTCATATTGGGGCTAGTGCTAGGGGTTATGATGATGTGCATGGCGGGTACGGTTTTGGGGATATGAATGAGAGAGGTAATTCATTGTTGGATTTTGCTAGAGCTTTTGATTTGGTTATAGCTAACTCGAGTTTTCCGAAGAGGGAAGAGCACTTGGTCACTTTCCAGAATTCAATGGGCAAGGCTTAGATTGATTATCTTCTCTATAGGAAATGCGATAAAGGTCTGTGCATTGACTGCAAGGTCATCCCAAGTGAGCACCTCACGACTCTACATAGGCTCCTAGTTATGGACCTGGAGATCAAGAGGAGTAGGAGGTAGAGGGCGGGGTGCAGGCAACCTAAGATCAAGTGGGGTAACTTGACCAAGGACAAAACTCAGGAGTTAAGGGGAAGTTGTTGGCTTTGAGGGCCTGAATGAGTGGGGGGTAGGGGGATGCGTCTAGTATATGGTTCACGACTGTGGATTGCATTAGGGTAGCTGCTAGAGAGGTCCTAGGGGTAACGAAGGGCTCTCTTGGGAGTCATAAAGGGGACTGGTGGTGGAATGTAGAGGTTCAAGCTAAAGTGGAAGCTAAGAAAGCTGCTTATTTGAAGCTAGTGGAAAGTACAAACGAGGAGGAAAAAAGGACTTATCGGGAGTGTTACAGAAAGGCAAAGAAAGAGGCGAAGTTAGCAGTTATGACGGCTAAGAACGCGACCTTTGCTTGTTTGTATGAGGAGCTCGAGGGTAAAGGCGGAGACAAGAAGTTGTACCAGTTGGCCAAGGTGAGGTAGAGGAAAGCTCGCGACTTATACCAAGTCAAGTGCATCAAGGATGAGGATGGCAAAGTGTTGATGGACGGGGCACTTATTAGGAGAAGATGGCAGACATACTTCCATAAAATGTTGAACGAGGAAGAGGATAGACACATTGTGTTGGGTAAGTTAGAGCACTCCGAGAGTCGGCGGGTTTTTAGGTACTGTAGGCAGATTACGGTAGAAGAGGTGGAAGGGGCGATGTGTAAGATGTATAGGGGCAGAGCGACGGGGCCAGATGAAATCCCAGTAGAATTCTAGAAGAGCGCGGGATGGGCAAGTTTGGAGTGGATCACTGGGCTATTTAATGTAATTTTTAAGACAAAGAAGATGCCCGAAGAATGGAGGTGGAGTATGATGGTTCCGCTTTACAAGAACAAGGGTGATATCCAAAATTGTAACAATTATAGGGGTATCAAGTTGTTGAGTCACACTATGAAGGTTTGGAAGAGGGTGGTGGAGGCCAGGGTGAGGAGGTGCATGTCTATTTCCGAGAATCAGTTTGGATTCATGCCGGGGCGTTCGACTACGGAAGCAATTCATCTAGTAAGGAGATTAGTGGAGCAATATAGGGAGAGGAAGAAAGAATTGCATATGGTATTTATTGACCTTGAGAAAGCATACGATAAAGTCCCGAGTGAGGTCCTGTGGAGGTGTTTGGAGTTTAGCAGCATTCTGGTAGCGTACATTAGGATAATTAAGGATATGTATGATGATACTAAGACTCGGGTGAGGATTGTGGGTGGTGATTCAGTGTATTTCCCTGTGGTGATGGGGTTGCACCAGGGATTGACTCTTAGCCCATATTTATTTGCCTTGGCGATGGATGTACTATCGCGATACATCCAAGGGTAGGTGCCTTGGTACATGCTATTTGCCGATGATATAGTTTGATTGACGAGACGCGTAGCACAGTTAACGTGGGGTTGGAGGTTTGGAGACAGACCTTGGTGTCTAAAGGTTTTAAATTGAGTAGAACCAAGATAGAATACTTGGAGTGCAAATTTAGTGACGGGACCCATGATGCAGACACATAGGTTAAGCTTGATGCTCAATTTATCCCTAAGAGAGCGAGTTTTAAGTATCTCGGGTCTATTATCCAGGGTAACGGGGAGATTGACGAAGATGCCGCACATCGCATCGGAGCGGGGTGGTAGAAGTGGAGGCTTGCTTCCGGTGTTTTGTGTGATAGCAATGTGCTGCCAAGACTTAAGGGTAAGTTTTATTGAGTGGTGGTTCGACCGGCGATGCTGTATGGCTGAGTGTTGGCTAGTTAAGGAATCACATGTGCAGAAGATGAAAATAGCAGAGATGAGGATATTAAGATGGATGTGTGGGTGTACCAGGAGAGATATGATTAAGAATAAAGCTATCCGGGACAGAGTGGGAGTAGCCTCCGTGGAGGACAAGATGCCGGAGTCGAGGCTGAGATAGTTCGGACATGTTAAGAGAAGAAGCATTGATGCTCCTGTCAGGAGGTGTGAGAGGTTGGTCATGGAGAGTTTGAGAAGAGGTCGAGTAGGCCTAAGAAGTACTGGGGAGAGGTGATTAGACAGGACATGGCGCTGCTTCAGCTCACTGAGGACATGACCCTTGATAGGAGGGTATGGAGGTCGAAGATTAAGGTAGAAGGTTGGTAGGTAGTTTATAGTTCTTCACCGATAGTCTTAGTAGCATGCATGTCCCTTCATATTCTTAGATTTTTATTACGTTATGTGGTTTTGTTCGCCTCAGCTATTGTATTCCCTGTTGCTATTATTTGGTACTACTTATCATTTATCTCTCTCTTTTCTTTTCTCTTCCTTCTTTCTTCCTTCCTTGCTTTCCTCTTCTTCTTGCCCTTCCTGAGCCGAGGATCTATTAAAAACAGTCTCTCTACCTGCATTAGGTAGGGGTAAGGTCTGCGTACAGACTACCCTCCCAGACCTCACCTGTTGGGATCAAACTGAGTTTGTTGTTGATGTTGTTGTTACTTCTAAGCAACAAATAGTGTTAGGTCAAACTTTTTTTTGTTTCTCTAAATTTGCTTCTACTAATACTTAAAGCTCTTTTTTTTTTTTTTTTTTATATTCTAAAAGCTTCCAAACACCTCTACTTAAAATAAAAACAAAAGGGAAAAAAAATAATGCTTTTCACCTTGGAGAACATGCTATAAAATTACAAAGGGGATTTGAGTATTGGAAATGAAAACATTTTGGGAATTAGTTGGACCAATAGGTTTCAATGTCTCGAGTAAAAGTAAAACACAGTCAGTAATCAACAAAGAGCTCCTCCAAAACTTGCGTACTGAAGTGCGAATGAACAAAAAAGAGCTCCTTCTTTCCTAGTAAAGCAGAAATGGAGGGGATAGGGGTATTATTGATGCGTCCGCTGTCCAATTACCTCCAGCAAGAGCTGACCAAACGTTTCACTCTCTTCAAATACTGGGAAATTCCCTCTGAATCTCTCAAACTACACTCGAACTCCATCCGAGCAGTAGTGGGAAATGGAGTTCAGGGAGCTAATTCGGCGTTGATTGATTCGCTACCCAGATTGGAAATAGTATCGAGTCACAGTTCAGGGCTTGACAAGATTGATTTGGTGAAGTGCAAAGAGAGAGGGATTAGGGTCACTTCCACTCCCGATGCTCTCACCGATGACGTTGCTGACATGGCCATTTTACTCACACTCGCCACATTGAGGAGGATTTGTGAAGCTGATCGATTCGTTAGGAATGGGATTTGGAAGGAAAAGGATTTCAAATTGACCACTAAGGTATTATTCTTGTACAACTGTTATATCTACTTTTGCCCAATATATACATCTTTTAGCCTTTAAAGTTCGTGGCTTTTGCTTAACAGTTCGCATCTTTAGTTGGATTTGGTTAGAAACAGAGTCAAATGTGCTTTTTCCTTTGATTCATTAACTTAATGCTGACGGAGGCAAAATTAGTTGTAAATAATAGGAGCAGCATTTTGGCTTTTGTTCAAGATTCTTGAGTTAATGCTTGTAAAACGTGTTCAGATAGGTTCAATAGTTAAGATTTTTAGGCTAACTCATTGCAATTTTGAAATTATGGTTTCATAAATTAATGTTTATTGAAACTTTAGTGCTTTTTCGCATATATATATTTATGTTCCGCGTTCATAATACTAGGTTTAGTTGAACCCATAGAGTATATGCTACATCTGCCTTCGGACGTGTTCATCAAATGCCTTACTTGAAGCTGGTCTGATGCAATTGAGTCAAGCATATTGTCTGCTTCCCACGATGAACTTGTGTATTTTGAACATATATGACTATCTTCTTCTTTTAGAGTACTTAAGTTGGTCCAGACCAAATCTAACCATATTATCCTTTGACTTTTCCCTTTCTAAGTTTTGTTTCTCCAAAGAGCTTAATTGTTTTGCTCTTCATTTTTCTTTCAGTTTAGCGGCAAATCAGTAGGTATTGTAGGTTTAGGGAGAATTGGTTCAGCAATTGCCAAGAGAGCTGAAGCTTTTGGATGTTCAATCAGTTATACTTCACGTTCACAAAAACCAGAGTCAACGTACACCTATTATCCACATGTTAGCGACTTGGCCTCCAACTGTCAGATCCTCGTTGTTGCTTGTGCCTTAACAGATGAAACTCGCCACATTATCAACCGTGAAGTCATAGATGCCATGGGTCCACATGAAGTTGTTATCAACATTGCGAGGGGTTCTCATATCGATGAACCTGAGCTGGTGTCTGCTCTTGCAGAAGGCAGATTAGGAGGAGCAGGGCTTGATGTGCTTGAATATGAACCTGAAGCGCCCGTGCTACTAGCTGGACTTGATAATGTTGTCCTATCACCTCATGTGGCAGCTAGCACTTTGGAGACTCGTAAGGACATGGCTGACCTCGTGGTTGCAAACTTGGAGGCACACTTTTCGGACAAGCCATTACTGACCCCTGTTATTTGACAGTTTCTGGCAAAAGGTATGGTGATCTTGGACTTCTTTTTGTCATGCATTCTTCCACTTCTATATTCAGGATACTGCATTGGTGCTCAATAACATGCTATCTGGTCTCCTTCTAAATTTAAGCATAAGCTGTAGTTGGAACTTGGAAATGCTTTTTAAGTTCTTCTTTTTTGATTCGGTAAAGTGAAATTTCATTAACAATTGCATCCAGTAGATGCTAAAATTACAAGCTATAGCAAAAAAAGTTAGTTCATGAAAACAACGGATCTTCTATAAACTTCATAGCGAGCTAACAAAGTAAAAAACTGAACAAAATTATTTACATCGTTACTGCCTCTGCTTATAGATTCTGTGTTTGAGCAATTAACGGAAGGTAATATGTAGTTGCATTGCAGATTATAAGGCAAGTTCGCTCAACAATACAGAAATTGAGCACTACTGAGCTAACATCTAAATCGAGATGTAATATATCAATAGGTTCAAACTAATGTCAAATTTTAAGGTCTAGTACATGTCTGTTTTCAGATTCTCAGAAAGAATGTCTGGATCCCCTCTCAATGAAGCATACACTTCTCGTCACTTCATAAGCCCCCGAACGTGTTAATGAACTTGGATTATGACTGATTGGCCCCGAGGATGGTTCACTTCAGCTCTCTTGTGAATGTTTATAGTACGAGTATGCAGTCAAGCACACCAACTATTCAAGTTTGACAGCCAAGATACAGTGGTTGAATCTCAGGCAATGTTCAGCTCAATGTAAGGACCACTTTAGTTTGAACAACTTCTCATCTTTTGAGTATTCAATCAACTATCTGCTATATATCCTTGCTTTTGTGAACTGCTCCTATGCCAGATAGAGGCCAAATATTGAGGAGAACACCACACTTTACTAATTTAATCATGGATATACGAGGAACTTAATCTTAGCAGCTAGAAGAAAAAGGTGAAAGATCCATGCAGATGGCAACTGCCAATATTTACATTATCATCTATCCTTTTTAGTTTTCATTTCTCTCTAGATATTTGCTCGTGGAAAGTGAAAAACAAATAGAAGTCGAAAAAGGGGGAGGGATCTTGGACAGAGATTGAGAATGACCTAGCTAAGAATAATTACAGGTCCCATTTTCATCTCAATCTTCCACCTTTCTTGAAAACCCAACATCAAGGAGAAGTGGCTCCTTTGAAGATGAGGAAGTTTAGCGTCTCCAATGTGAAATAGATAAATGTTCCTTTAGCATGAGTGAAGAAACAGCCGAATTTTGACCCCACCACGCACTGCCATCCTCCCCCATATTTCTTGTCAAATTCCTGGAAATATTACAAAGCTGTTACGGACATATAATCTGAGCTACAAGAAATAATGTATTGAGACATTACATAATCAAGTAATCAAGTGTGCTCTGTAACAACTTAAGCTTTTATATGAAATGATGATCTAATTCATCAGAGCAAGCCAGGATGTGGCCTAGGTTCAAATTGCACCGTTATCCAAAAGCAAATAGTAAGCTCACACATGAGGACAAGCTGAAACATAATAGTATAATTAAGAAAATAAAAATGCACTCGGCTCGGGTTTAGAGAAGATGGTCATACACTTCAAACCGTAAATAGGAGAAAATGGCAGTCTTTTGTGGATAAAAAAATATAATTGGAATACTACCTTCTTTATGTGAGCAGCAATAGATTTGCAGTCCAAAACATCATAAAGATCCAGAGCTTGAGAAGCCCAACGCATGGCTTGGATCTGCATCTTCAATGGCATATCTGTATCTTCAATAACAGCTTTTCCTTCCAACATATTCTGTCTCTCTCTATCTATTGCTCTGAAGTAGAAGATCCCAATTTAGTAGTGGAAGCAAACTCAGTAATTTATTACTAGCTTTGGTGTTTAAAATCAAGAGGAACCTTCCCCTGTTTTTTCTCAGAAAGAACATGAAAGGAGTGAGTAGAAAATCTCTTGTCACAATTCCTGTTTCAGCTAAAGTGTAAAGGTCACATATTCTTATGCTGACACATACGATCGTGTCGTGTTCCTACTCACCTAAAGCACATTTTAACCTTATTCTATTTCCTAACCTTCTTCTCTCTCTTTGTCATGTCCTTGTGGATAATGATGTTGAGGATAGAGCTTACGAGACCTAAACTATAATTCGTGCTTTCCATGATCTCTTTTTCTTATCAAAATTGTCAATCTATTCGTGCCAAAATTTTCTTTGAGCACTGATTTACTACAACTGATGGCTCATCCCCAAGTTGACAGCAGCAATTTCATATTTTTTCTTGTTCTGTTTTCGTGTGCGTATTATTTATTAGACATTCATATGTACCTGCTTCTGAATTCGCAAAAGATAGTTTCTGACTGAGTTATTCTTATCTTGTTTATTCAAAAAACTCATGTAAAAAATATTATAACTCATAATGTTTATTCTTTACAAAAGGTTTAATCAAATGAAACAATTATTCAAACCTTAAATCTATCTATATATAATAGGAGAGGCAGACACCATAGTAAGCCAACTGACAACATAATTAAAAGCCACTTGGCAGTTTTAGAACAAAATTAGTTAAGTTAGGTAATAATTAGTTATTCTTTTTGAATTTGAATTTAAGAAGAAAAGTCTAATTTAAATTTGAAATAATTACAAGAAACATAGTAAAAAAAAATCAAAACTTTATATCGAAAATAAAATAGAAGATAAGTCTAATTGCTTATTCCATATAATGTAGAAAAAATTCTAAAACTATTGATACATTTGATACAAAATAATAAACGAACATATATTTAGGACGAAGTAAAAAAATATAAAAATGGTAAGTAACCTCCACTTCCAACTAAGAGGTTGTGAGTTCGAGTCAACCAAGAGCAAGGTGGGGAGTTCTTGGAGGGAAGGATGCCGAGGGTCTATTTGGAAACAGCCTCTCTACCCCAGGGTAGGGGTAAGGTCTGCGTACACACTATCCTCCCCAGACCCCACTAGTGGGATTACAATGGGTTGTTGTTGTTGTTGTTGTTGTTGTAAAAAAATATAAAAATCAAAACTTTATATTGAAAATAAAATAAAAGAAAAGTCTAATTGCTTATTCCATGCGATACAGGAAAAAATAATCAAAATATTGATACATTTTATACAAAATAATAACAAAAAAAATATTATGGACGAAGTAAGAAATCTATATTATCTATGTTATATTAAAGGAGGTATCTATATATTAGATATTATATTATCTATACGTAATAAAAAGATATGCAAAGACATCATATTAACTCAAGTGACAGCATAATAAAAAGCCACTTAGCAATTTTAAGATAAAAAAATTATTGTTCATAAGATTAAGCCAAATGTCAAGATAGTACAATATATTCTCCACGCAACGCGCGGGTATAAATACTAGTACTGGAGTAACAAAAAATCTTTCTTTTGGACGATGGACTGGAAATCGCGTCCCAGCCCACCCCCTCTGTATAACCAGCCCTATCACATGGCCATTTGCATCTATACCTAGTTTTGGGGTCACAATTAACTTATACTCACTTTGTACAAAACTTTGCAAGCCCACATACTTTAGGATTAACTTCAGACTTATCGGGTCTGAAGTTAAAAGAAATAGTCGGAAGTGCAATGCACTCGAGGCCAATTATGTCTAAAGTGCAAAAATTATACTTAAATACACTTAAGGCCAAATATGTTTGAAGTGCAATAAATATTTTAATGCACTTAAGGTCAAATTGGTCTAAAATGAAAAAAATTACACTTCAGATGCACTTAAGGCCAAAAAGGTCTGAAGTACAACCAATGTTTTCATGCACTTAAGGTCAAATAGGTCTGAAGTGAAAAAATTACACGTCAGATGCACTTAAGGTCAAATAGGTCTGAAGTGCAACCAATGTTTTCATGTACTTAAAGGCAATTGTAAGGCCCCATAAAATTTTATCTAGAACACGGGATTTCGTGGTGCCAAGGTGAGCTAACATGCTTGAGGGTTGTAGCTCGCCGTGGTACGAACTTTTTGGGTTGTGTAGTGCGTCAGGAAGTTGGAAGAATAATTTTTGCAGAACATGACATTTCTATGGTCCATTATGCAGCAGTAGAATCACTCTACGGATCGCAGATCCGTCGCAGAGTGCAATAGGAACAAAGACAATTTTTGGAGGTCATTTTGCGGTCCATTATACAACAACAACAACCTAGTAAAATTTCACTACTGGGGTCTGGGGAGGGTAGTGTGTGCGCAGACCATACCCCTATCCCGAAGGAGTAGAGAGGCTGTTTTCGAAACACTCTTGGCTCAAGAAAACAAAAAGACAAAAGGAGACAATATTAGTATCAACAAAGAAATCATATGAAAAACAGGAACAACATGAAATTCAGAAGAAAGATGCAAAGCAAATTCTCAACTGTTTGCGGTCCATTATGCGACCGTATAATCATTTCGCGGGCTGCACATTCGTCGCAGATTCAACATGAAAAATTTCGAAAGGAGACTTTTGCGGTGCGTTATGCGACCGCATAACTGTTCTGCGGGCAGCAAAACGGCCGAGACTTGATCAGGCCAACCCAGTTTTTAGGACCATTTCTGGGTCCATTTTGCGGGCCGCAGACCTGATCTGCGGTGCATTCTGCTACCGCGTAGATGAGTTCGGAGGGTTCATTTTGTGATTTTATAACCCGACCTCATTTTTTATAAAACGACTTGGGGTTATTTTGGCTGGTAAAAACGGCTATTTTAGAGGGAGGGGGGTGCTTTAGAGAGATGAGGAATCCCCCAAGTGCTTTGATCATCAATCTTTACCCTAGTCTTGAAGATTCAAGAGAATCACTCACTAGGCCACCACCTATCCGAGTAAGTTCTTGTTCTACATCATCCATGCAAGTTTGTTTTGGGTTCAAGCCGGGCGGGGAGTAGAAGATATGGCATGCATGTTTCGATAGAGGGGTCTTGAAGGTTGTTGAATTGCTCGGGATGAATTATTGGTTGATATGGGTGGTGGGGTGAAAATTTTTTTATACGAGAACCTTGTAGTCTAATTTGAACACCTAGTGCTTGATGAAATGCGTATGTGAGCTGAACCCATGAATCTCTCCTAATTATGGTTCAATTTTGTTATGTCCCTGATAGATCGACGTCGCTAAGATTTTTGGAGTGTTGTAGTAGTTTAAAAAGGCTCAAGCGAGGTATGTTGGCTTAACTTCTATTGTATAGTCGAATTCCATGATGTTCTCGTAAGATTCAAGTATGATTAGCCCAAGTTCCTTATTCCCGTGTTTTGAGCCATCCCTAGTAGATTCAGCTATTCCAAATGAGCATGTATCGAAAATTATATGCTCAAAATGTGTTTTAATTGCTCCTATAATATTATGCTCTCCTTCGGGAATGTATTCAAGTATGATTTATATATCATAATGCTATGACTTCAACTCATGTTTCAAATGCAAGATTTATTATGCCTTATTCTTGGAAGAAATATTCAATGTGTTTAAGACTTCTATTGCTCATGTACATATTAAAGTCTTGATTACAAAAGCCCTTATTATTGATAATCTATGATGATGCTTGAAAGCGAAAAAAGTGAGTATGAGATATAAAATGTGGCCATCGTGCCAAGAATGAAATTACACCTGTGGCCAATAGTGCAAATGAAATGAAAAGAATGTATGAAAGATTATGAAAAGAGCTTTAACTCCTTGATATAATAAATATTTTGGGAGCATCGTTTAGTCATCGAGGAAGGGTAGGTTGAAATAACCTAACCCCGAAACTACACGTGTCGGTGTAAGAGTGATTGAGGGATAAATTCCCGTATTGATATGTTGAGATTATTCCCCTTAATTGGGAGGAGATTGATGTATTGAGATTATTCCCCTTAATTGGGATAAGATGATTGCTAGCGGAATGTGATGTCGACCCACACGACATTGTGGTGATACAACTTAGCCGATTGGGTCGAGATAGGACGTCACGCACGTGGTGGTGTTATGATTGGATGTCTTGGGATGAGACGACTAGCCGATTGGGCTGAGATCGTACCCTGTGCTAAAAGCACGGTGGTGTATCGGTACTAAAGATCTCCCAATTTAAAAATATTGTTATTCACTTGAAAAATTATCTTCTCTTAACTTGATGCTTTTGATATTGTTTGAGTCTCTCATTGATTCCATGTTTCTTTCTTCTTGTATTGTTACTCGATTCATCGAGGATGTGTTTAGTATTTATATATTAGTTCTATTCCATATGTACTAACGTCCCTTTTGTCGAGTGCACTGCATCTTTAATGGATGCAGGTGGCTCCATAGCAGGCGGCATCGATCGGTGATAGTGGCACACCCTATTCTCAACTGACTTGGTGAGCCTCATTTCATCTCGGGGTCTTGTGTCTTTTATACCTTATGTATACTGTTTTAAGGTATAGCCGAGACCTTGTTGTCGGCACCACCATATTACTCTTTTCTATCTATTAGAGGTTCCGTAGATATAGTGTGGGTTGTATCTTGGTTTTGAAAAGTCAAACTAGAAATGTTGTATTTGTATCACATGTCCCCACTTCTAAACTATGAACGTGTAATATATTTTTGGAAATTGCAAATGAAGTAACTAATGATAATGAAATTGGTGTTGTTCACGAAATCCTCTCATTGTATAACAAATGTTATCCATCTTCACTTTATTCATGGGTAAGGTCAGGTAGAAGTCATCAAGCAGGCTTGCTTGACTGGGATTTCTCGGTTGAGCGTCGGTCGCGCTCCCCAAGGCCGGGTCGTGACATCAACTTAAGTCTAAAGTGCAAATTGCCTAAAAGCAAAAATTTGTTCTTTGAATTTCAACAATCCAATACACGATTTAACACCAAAATCTACTCCAAATGAGCTCAAATTTGAAAAAAAACCTCCAAATATCATCAAGAACAACCTCAATCATCAATTTCTTAGAATAACAAAAAATCTTACAAACCCATTTTGCAATTAAGAAGAAGAAGTAACCCTAAGCATTAATAAAAAAAATAAAGCGTCACAATAGCTCACCGCTATAAAACATCATAAACTACATTAAAATAGGAAGTTATCTAAACTTTGGGTACTAGTTCCAAAAAATTTAAAAAGTGGGTATAGGTTAAATGGGGGCAACTAGAGTTGTAAAATTTGGCCCAAGCCCAAATGACCCACCCAAAGTTGAGCTAGTTATTGACCTGCCTATTTATTGAACTTAGCTTATCTTGATCCTTTTTATTATTATTTGATATGTTATATATGACCATAGCAAAAGAAAAACAAAGTCTTATTTAGTAATTATACTATTTATAAGAAAACACATATTAATTAAAGCTTAATAAGAGTTGGGCGGGTTGGGCTATGACCCGAATTTTGTCCATCTTGAA